GCCTGGCTTGGGTTAGGCTACTGTGCCCAGCCAGCTCCTTACTGTTGTTGCCCTTGGAGGTGGGCCTGCAGTACACCTCTGGTAAGATGATCTGTTCCTGGATTAACTGTGTGGTTTTGACCCTAGTCTCACTGCAGGGACTTTAGCTTCAGGGTTTTACCTCAAGCCTGTATGATAGGTCTGGGCTGGGTCTGGAGGGGTATGAGAAGCGGGGATGAGAGAGCACAGAAGCTCTCCCACACACTCACCAGTGTTGTGTTTTGGTGGATCTGCAAGACTCCCAAAAGCATGACAGAAGTTCTTACTCAGACGGCGGGCTTTCTGGGTCTGGCCAGGCAGGGGAAGTCCGGATAACAAGGGCAAAGGCCTCTTATGCGGCGGGCCTGGGCTTGGAGCAGCAGCTGGGCGCAGACAGAGCAGAAGCTCTCCTCCACACTCAAAGGGCCTGGGATTGGTTGGATATGGAGGGCCCAAGGCACGGTGGAAGTTCTCACTCAGAGGGCGGGCTGCACTGGGTCTGGTGGGCTGCGCTGGTCTCATGTCTTTCTAGAATGTCCTTCAGAACATTTTGGAGTGCTGGTTAGTGGTCATGAATTTCTGCAGTATTCTTTGTCATTGAGGTATCTTATTTCTCTCTCAATTTTGAAAGATAGTTTTACAGTATAATATCAATCTGGATTGGAGGTTGTTTTCTTTTAGGGTTTTAAATGCTTCACTACAAGCTTTCCTTGAGTTGAGGGTTTATGTTGAGAAGTCTGCTATGATTGTGATGGGCTTTCCTTTATAGGTGATTTGTTTCTTTTCTCTAACAGATTTGAACATTCTCTCTGACACCAAACTCTGAAATCTTGAGTAATATATGCCTTAGCACAGACTTTTTAAAATCATGGCTATTTGGAATTCTGTATGCCTCACTTATGTCAAATTTTCTTTCCCTGCCTGGGAAGTTTTCTGCTGTTACTTCTGTGAACAAGTTTTTATATTATTTGTGCTATCGCCTGCTTTTCCATTTACTCCAATCAATTTTATGTTGTTCTTCTTCGCATCATCTAGCATCTATTTAATTGATCTTTCACGGACCCTTGCTACTTTTAAGAAATCTTTCTCTTTTTTTTTTTGGTGGAACTGGGGATTGAACTCAGGCCCTTGCACTTGCCAGGGAAGTGCTTATTCTATTGAGCCATCTCCCCAACCCCAAGAAATCTTTCTTTTCATGATCACTAACCACAATCCTGTCCTCTAGATCTGATATTCTGTTCTTAAATGGGTTCATTCTCATTCATATATTTTAATAGAATTTTAAATCTCCTGGGTATATATATGAACCTGTTTCATGAATTCCATTTCTTTACTATGTTGGGCATTTATGGTTTCCATCATTTTACTAAACTCCTTTATTTTTTATGTGTATATTTTCTAAATTCACTAATCATGTCCTTCATTGTGATCGTTATCTCTGTAGTTATCTAAGAAATTTTTCTCTTTTGATTTTTTTCTATAGCCTCATTCATCTGCTTGTTACATTTGCTGTTACCACTTTAGAGACCCCGTGTGGGTGGCTTTTGAATTGCTATACATCATTGCCCCCTGGATTTGACTTTGGTGAGCTGTGAGTCTAGAGTTGCATCTTGTTTCTGTGTCTTCTCATTTTCTATTTTCTTTTAGTTTAATTCCTGAGTTGAAGGTTGTAAATTGCTTGTGGTAGGTAACTTTATTTCTAGCATCCAGAATCCTTAAATGACCACTTCTCAGAGATGTCTTTTAGGTATATCTGACTTTTGGGTGTTGAATCTGTTACAAGATCCTACCTCTCCAATTTTTTTTTTATAAATGATTTGTTTTTCTTTCTTTCTTTCTTTTTTTAATTTTTTTAAAATTTTATTTATTTATTTATTTATGTGTGTGTGTGTGTGTGTGTGTGTGTGTGTGTGTGGCCAGCTCAGCCCACCAGGGGGCAGGGCTGGCTGGCGTGTGGTGCTGGGGGATTGAACTGCGGTCCCTGTGCTTTGCTAAGCTTGTTTTTTAAGTAGGTGCTTTAGACCACTGAGCCATCTCACCAGCCCCCTACCTCTTCAATTTATTGTGAATGAAAAATTGCTGCCTATTTGGCCTAACCCCTGGTTCTTTGGTACTGGTCTATAGTATTCTTTATCACTTGCAGGCAATCTTAGTCTTGACCTACAAGGAACAACTGATTAGAACAATGACATCACCTTGGCAAAAGTAGTACAAATAACAGTAGTGTCAAACACAGCCTAAAAACTGACAAACAGTGTTAACTATTAATTTGCCACCTTTAACATACAGACAAGATTTGTAGTTATATAGCAAAATCCAAAAAAACACAGAAAATTATACACAGAAAATATCACCTTAATATGGCAATTTTCCTCTCAAGCAACAAAACTTAAAAAGGGTTGGGGGAAAATAGAGAAATAAAAGAAGAGAAAGAGATGAGAAAGAAACCTGGAGGACAATGAAAAATTGTACAAGCTTTGGGAAAGTAGTAAAGGAGAAAGAAGGGAAAGGAAGAAACACAAGCAAGAATAACAATAAAAACAAACAAAACAAATTCAAACACTAGAAACAATATTAAAACTTGTTTAAAAAATGAGAACAAAAAAGAAGAGATAAAGAGCCAAGGAAAAAATAATGTCCACTTCATCACACATCTCTGCTATGACTGGTAGGCACAGGGGCCAAACAGATCCAGATCCATTTGATTAATCCCAGCAAGCCAGCAGTAGAATTATGGTGGGGTGATCCCAGAAAGACTATACCTGTAGTTCCACTGAAGTTCAGGCTGCTTCTGGTTTCCAGTTTTGAGGCTGAGAACCAAGTTGCGTAGCCTGCAATACTCTGGGTGTCTCCTATGGGTTTGACCTCCACTTCCTGACCTCTTGCCAGCCTGAACTTGACTGTACTTCACTCTGACACTGGGAATAGCTAGGTGGAACCAACCTGCAGTTGCTCTGAGTTCTAAGTTCAGTTGGCCCCTTTCCAAAATGGCAACTGGCCAATTGCCCTCTTCCAAAGTATATCTCAACTGGACAAGCTTACCAGCCACTGCAGTTTTCAGCACCCTTCCACTGGCACTTTTCTCCATGGAGGCTTCTAGGGTCACCAGTAGTCACTGTGCATCTGCAGTTTTGAGCCGCTCCTCCCATGCAGTGAACCAGGGCTCCAGAAGAAAGCACTTCTTGCCACGCCCCTCTTCTATGTTGAGACCTCTCTCCTCAATCTCTCCATGGGCTTCATTGCTGGATCCTGGGGGTCCACTTTTCTCCTTTTCTTCCTCAAGTTTCTAAATTCCAGGGTCTAGACTGCAAATTTCAGAGAAGCTGTCTTTCTCCTGCTGACTACTCCACCATTTTCCTGGAAGAAACCTGATTCTTTGTATTATTTTCTTAGTCTCAGTTACATTAATTTCTGCTCTAATCTTTATAATTTCCTTCCTTATATGAACTTTGGGTTCAACTTGCTATTCTTTTTCTAGAACCCTGAGGTTCAACATAGATTATTTATTTGAGCTTTCTTGTTTTTCTCATATGCTTGTGTCTCAGTTACTCTTCTCTCGTTGCTGAGACAAATACCCGACACCAAAAATGAAGGAAGGAAAGGTTTATTTAGCTCACAGTTACTGGAGGTTTCAGTCCACACTCAGCTGGCTCCAAGTCAAAGAGGCAGAGAGCAACCTTTCTTGGTGGTGGCAAAGAACACAGAGGGGAAGGGAGGGTCAGCTGCTTAGGCAGCTCATCCCTCCTTACATTATAATGCAGGTTACCTGCCCCAGGGCTGGTGGGCATCCACATCCACAGTAATCAATCACAAACTCCAGAAACTGCCCCACGACTGCTTGAGGCTTTAGGGGGACAATTAGACACAAACCGTAAGAGCGTGAGAATTCATGCATGTTCCCAGGCCCCAGCCATTGCGAACCCTTGACCTGAGTTGAGGCACAAACCACATTTGGAAAACCAGACATGTGAATCTTTGTCATTTAATTTCATTTCCTGAAACTGGAAAAATAATCAAAATAATTTAAAATTAAAATATCCTTACCGTGGTCCTGTGGTGTCTACAGGTAAAAATGCATTAATAGGATTATGTGATCACTAGTGGGACATACAGGAGAAGAGAATAAATGCTAGGAAGTAGTAGAGTCACATCAGGCGGGGCGACGGGGGGACATCTGAGATGCCCCAAGAAAGCAAATGCCACAGGCAGACAGAAGATGCCTAAGCCACAGTTGGGGAAAAGGCCACTGGGTCCTACACACCGCTGAGCTAGGGCACCTTTTGACCATGAAAGGCCCCTTCCAGGTCATCTTCCTTGGGCTCCAGGTGCCTCAGGCTGCTGCTTCACAAGAATGAAGATAAAAAAGGCACAGCCAGGTTGTGGAGGAAGCCTGGTGCTCAGGGCAGCATGGTGCCAGCCTGCAAGGGCTGAGGTGACTCCAGTCAGTCACCACATTGGGCAAGCTGTGACCTGAAATGGCTGTCTGTTCTTTTATCCTCACAGAGCCGGCTGCCATGGAAGTGGCCCCCTCCTTCTCCAGAGTCCTAAAGGACTGCATGGTCATTGAGGGCCAAGATTTTGTGCTGAAGTGCTCTGTGCAAGGGACCCCAGTGCCCCAAATCACTTGGCTGCTCAATGGTGAGTCACCGCCTTGCCCCAGCCCTTAAGCCCTTTGACCCTGCCTTAATACTTACATCTCACTTTGCACCACATACTCCTTAGGAACACAGGGCACAGAAAACACAGGAATCAAGTCTCTGGCCAGCTGGCCAAGCATGTTTGTAACATGTCAGAGCCTTGCATTCTTCCTCTGCATGGTGACAGTACTACCACTATCCTTTCAGGGTGGTGGTTGTTAGATCAAATTGTATAAAGTAGTCAGTGGGATCCCTGACAAGTAGATGCATGAACAATTTAATGTCATTTCCTCTTGTCAGACTTAAAACAGGTCCTCATTAAATCTTTATTGAGTCAATACATAAACATATAAATGAATAAACTAGTGAGCCACTCTAGAAATACTTTGAGGAATCTTGCCTTCTATTTAATGGCAGGTGCTTCTGAGGTTCACAGACTAGTCATTTTTTATGTTAATTATAATCCTATGAAAACATGCCAACTATTTTTTGGTTCTTAGCCAAGTAAGATCCTTTGAAGAAATTAGTTACCAAATATTATCACCCTTCCCTTTTTAAAAAAGTCTTTCAATTTCAAAAGTGTATCACAACTCTGATTAGACAACAGGACAGTTCAATCAGTGGATGAGCTTGGGAAGGGCCTGTGTTGGGAAGGACGGACAAGTGTCCACTGTGAGTTAGGAGGCCTTGATGCTGGTCCTTCTCTACTATGAAGCAGGAACAGGGGACCTTGGGTACCCCCTTCGTCTCTTTAGTACTTGCTTCATTATGCATGGGGAATGGGAAGAGAGAAAGTTCAGGATCTCAGCCAGCTCCTCAGGCAGACGCCATAGCTTTTGCGTCACACACCCCTTAGGTACACCTGACACATTCCCTACGAACCTTGCACATTGGCGTAGTCTGCTCTGGCCTTGAGTGGGCAGGTGCTGTGTACTCTTACCATATAGCTGTCTTAGATAGCTAAGTGAGAACTGAGGTCTGTCTTCCCTCTGTACCCCCCATAAGGCCAGAACTCCTGTGGGAGCCTGGGGTCACTAAAAGTCGCAGCCTCCTCCTCCTCCTTGCAATGAGAGCAGGATATGTATACAAGGACTCATTGTGGACCCAAGGAAGAGTTTCCTTTCTGACTCAGAGCGTCCGTACCTGGCTCAGAATCTAGAAAAGTGGTGGCAAGTCTGTGGCATGTGTGCCACAGAGGACTATTTATTTTCACTGAAAACTGTAAAAGGTTCACCATCATTGGTCTAGAGCAAGGGTTAACTCCCATTCCTCTAAAGGGCCAGATAGTAAATCTCTCTGCTTCTGTGCTCACCCAGTCTGTGACAACTACTATATTCCATTGTCATAGCTCAAAAATAGCATAAACAATATTTGAATAAATGAGTGTGGCTGTGTTGTAATAAAGCTTTATTATCACTGAAATGAGAATTCTGTGTAGTTTTCATGTGTCTCAGAATTTTCATTTCACTTTTTCCAGCCATTTAAAATATGAAAAATTACTCTTAGCCAGTAGACTCTCCAGAAACAGGCTGAAGATCAGATTTAGTCCAAGGGCTGTGGTTTAGTTTACATCCTGTTTTACACCCCTCAGGGCTGACTCCTTGATAAATCACCTTTCCCACTAGAGGGCGCTCATGCTTAAATTGAATTTCCTTGGTTTCAGCTGTGGTCCAACCCAGTGTTCATGCTGAAGAAGTTTCAAGACTCTCAAGTTTGAAGTGCCCTGAGCTCACAGCTCCTTTTAGGGAGCCTCCGTTCTCTCCCTGGTTGTAGGGCTGAAATGAGTTGCACTACAATAAGTGGAGAGCTCTCACAGAGCTTGCCAGTGCATGTTTAGATGGCAGAGGCTCATTGATGACAGTCCAGGAATGTGCTAGTAATGTCAAGGAAAAGGTTTTGGGGATGTCACTGTCACAAAGAAAAAAGCAAAGGGCCATATCTTGGCCCTTCTGTGGCAGGATCCCAGCTCCTGCCTTTCCCCACCCTGCTTCATTTTATGGTCAGGGATGGGTTGGGAAGTCCGGCTTCCCTCCAGCCGCGGGGTATGCTTGGCTGCCTCCTACCAGACTGTTGCGGAGACATGAAGTGTTGCTGTGTGCTGAAGAAAACCGCGCACTGCAGGCAGAGCATTTCTTTCTGTGCTGTCTCCCTCCCTACTGCCCACCCCCGAGTTTATGAAGTGCAAACCAGGACCGCAGGGCCTGGCAAGCGAAGGGACTGACAATTGCTTCCTATGTGGCAAATAGACACATTCCTGCTCTAACGCCAGAGTCTGCAGTAGTGAGATCATTTTTCCCCCTAGAAGTGAAAGGTCTTGTCCTGGAGTGATAAAATCTCAGGAACATATAATGTTAAGGAAACTACTAAAGTTATAAACATTTATATCTGCATGCAGGACTTTAATCAAAGATCAAGGACTTCTCAGAAGACCAGGCATTCTTAGTTTCCTATAGTTGTTTTTTCCATGATGCTAAGATGCACCTAATTGCACAAAAGAAATAGAGCTAATTGCAACACTGGGGCAGGGGTGCACAGTTGCTTTCTGATAAATATCTACGATGGGAAAGAGAATCTTTGTTTCTGGAGACATCTAAAGGAGCTGGAAGCCACATGTTCAGTCTGGGCAAAGTCTACTCTGCCAGAGCCTGGGCTGGGGGCCAAAGGACCCTGTAAGATTCTTTCCAGGCACTGAATTCTGTGAAGTTGAGGATATGGAGTGGAGACTATTTTATTTAACCCAGATTGCCCAGATCTGTCTTTCCTGCCTGCCTTCCAGATTGCTCCAGAATCCTTCCCCCCTCCCCATGTTTCCAGCCCCAGCCCTGCTCGCCATGGACCTGGGCCAGCCCCAGCATTGGCCCTGCTAAGGTTAGGGCTCTGTCCCATCACAGGCGCTCCCCGTCTCAGCCTCCCTATGCTTCCCTCCCCAGGGCAGCCCATCCAGTATGCGCACTCCACCTGCCGGGCTGGCGTGGCTGAGCTCCGGGTCCAGGACACCCTGCCAGAGGATGATGGTATCTATACCTGTCTGGCTGAGAACACCTCAGGCCAAGTGTCCTGCAGCGCCAGGGTCACTGTCCATGGTAAGAGCCTCCAGTCACCTCACTAAAAGCACCTTTTCTGCTGATGGGCCCAGCAGCTCTGGAGAAAGGACACACTTGGAAAACATTATGACAGGCACAAATCCAAGGAATAGAGGTGCACATGGCATTACTCCAGGCCGCAGATGGCAGATGCTGCTGCCATAGAGGAGAGGCTGTAGGAACCTCCTGGGGCAGAGGAGAGGTGTCTCAGAAAGCCTGTGCCTGACAAGGGTCTGCCACTAAGGGAGCCAGTCTCCCACTCCTTTTGCCCTGCCAAAGCCATGGGAGATGCAGGGGAAAGATGCAAGGGACCCTTGCCCTCAAGCTCCCGAGGGCCCCCCAAGCTCCTGGCCTGGTAGGAAGAAAACCACCCACTGTGCAAGAGGACCTAGGAGGAGGGTCTCACAAATGAGCTGTTGTAAACAGGGAGCAGAATGTGGACACTGAGGCTTCTGGAAAATCACAGGCTGCCCCCTTCTTCTGCCCTTGCTCCTCCCACCACCCCCTGCTCACTTTTTCCATCACCAGCCTAGTGCCCAGTAATCTGATTATCACAGGCATCCATTGATCACCCAAGCATTAAGTCCCCAGGAGTCACAGGAGCCAGACTCTAGTCGCATCTGCCAGGGCTGTGGGATTGGCAGGCACAGCGGCAGTTCCAAGGGAGGTACTTCTTGGGGCTGGGCCTTCAGGTAAGCCTGACTCTCTCCCTTGCCTTAGGTCTGGGACCCAGCACCTGAGCATGCCTGGGTCCTCTGGTGCTGGACTATGCAGTGTGCCTGCTTTCCCTTTGGGCTAGGAACAGACTACACCTCCTGTTTTTGTCCCCCCACCTCAGACCTGGAGAAAGAGCCCCTGCAGAGGGAACAGCCACCTTCTTTCCCAGAAAGGAAAAGGGGCACATCTCACTATTTGACCTCTCCTGTGGCACCTGCTGGGGTGGGGGTGCTGTCCCCGTTTTACACCGAAGGAACTAAAGGTGTTATGAAGTCAGCGTCACCCAGCCAAGTGTACCACGCTGGCAGCAAACCTGGCCTTCTGAGCCCAGCCTTGGGATGGTGACACCCTGGCTCATCCTCTGGCTGCCCTTTTCCTGAGTGCATCTCCCCTGGCCCAGAGGGAGAGCTGGCCAGTGGGGGCTGGGCTCCATCCATCCCTTATGGACAAAGGAATGGGCACCAGTGGAGCTTGTGACCCCCACTGGCTCTCTGAGGCTCCCAGCTGGGAGTAAAGCCAGATTTCTCTGAAGAGGTGGCTTGGCATGGAGTCCTCTCCCAGTGAACCAGCCCATTTGTTCCTTCCAGGAAGTCCTCTATGCTTCAGCCAGAGTCAAGCTGGCCCTGGGGCGCTCCTAAGCCAGGCTCTGGTGTATACTTTATCCCATGTATTCTCTGTTCTAATTCCATGGCTTGGGGCCCTCAGGAGACTGTGTGGCAGGACTTTTGAGCTCAGAGCCTGCTCTCCTTGAGCCAAGGGAACAGCTGTCCCTGACCCTTCCCAGCAAGGGGCTCTTCTCTGAGGTCCCACCCACCACCCCAGTCAAGCTCCAAATGGCACATGGTGCCCAGCCACACAGCTCTGCCTTCTTTCTGACCCTTCCTTGCCAGCTTCCTCCCAACAGGACTACAGCTAATCCAGCACTTGTTCTGAGTTGTCTTTGCTTAGATTGGATTAGACAGAGCCATCTGAGCTAATTGTGGAGGTGGGGTCCCCAGATGAGTGCTCGAGATCTCTTCGGGGCTATTCTCCTGGGTCCTGGGGTAACTGATCACCCATGCTGGTGGGTCAGAGAACCGCAGGAGAAAAGCCCTAGCAAGAACCTGGTGGGACCTGGGATTCATGTTTAGCAGCCTACACGTGTGAACACCCTCTCAGTGGGGGGATTTATGGCTCGGCAAGCCGGACAGGCTTAGATACCATAAATGGTGAACAAGGCTTGGAGACACAGCTTCACTGAGGCCCAGTGGCATGTGGGCTGCCTCTGCCAGGGCTTGGCAGGGGGAGCCTGGCACAGGGATACCTCTGGCGCCGTGCCCAGGCCCTCAGCAGGCTCGAGTCTGTGGCCCATACCATTCTCAGCAGTGGAGTTCTTCTTGCTGTCTTGGTTGCTTTTCTAGCTCTGAGTCCTCAGGGCTGGTGAGAACACTTGTCCCCTGCTGCCTTCTGGCTGCTTCTTAGCATGGACCCTGGCTGTGACAGGGAATGGGAAGGGGGAAAGATTGCTTGGTGTGAAGCCTGCGGACCACTGCCTGGCCCTGCCACCTGGAGTTCACTCCCAGGCCTCACTGCCTCTTCAGTGAGCTAGGGATAAGAAGAGCCACTCACAGTAATGTGAGGACTGAATTAGGATGAACAAACAAGTGGATATGCAGGGTTCCCAGAACCAGGAAGTTCCCAGCTAGTGCTGTTATGATGACAGTCCAACTTTTTTTTTTTTTTTTTTGGTACCGGGGATTGAACTCAGGACCCTGCGCTTGCCAGGCAAGAACTTATACTACTGAGCTATCTCCCCGGCCTGACAGTCTAACTTTTACACAGGATAAAATATATTTGATGTGCTTTTACCCAAGGATCAGCTTGCTATAGTACTGCCTGTTCGAAGAGCAAATCCAGAAAGGCAGATTGGGCAGTGACCAGGTCAGACTCCTATGCTGAATTCCAAGACTCTGACCACAAGATGGCGCCATGCAGCAATGCACTGTGCTCTGCTCTGTCCTGGAGGACCTGTCTCTAGGGCTAGTTCCACAGACATGGGCTCCTTCTCACTGCTTTAGCTTTTCCCCAAGGTTTTGCAATCATCCAGAACACAGACTCTGATTCCGCTGGCTGATTCCCACAGATGTCACTTTCTCTGGGACGCCCTCCCTTGTCTCCTCAGGATGAGTTCTTCTAATACCCAGACTTCCCTTATTACCTTTACTGCCAAGAGATTTTTGTTGAGCACCTGTATTTATTTGTGCCAGGCATGTTCTGGGAAAATTGCAGTGCAGAGGCTGGTAAGGGTCCTGCCTTGACAGTGCTGCCGTTCCAGTGGGGACAGGGCAGTGGTCATACCTCCTTCAGCTGCAAAAGAGAACAGAGCTGGGTAGAAGGGGCCAGGAAGGGAGCAGCAAGACTGGAGAGCTGTGGGAAAGTGTCCTGGGGAAGAGCTGCCGGGAGCGCAAAGGTCCTGAGCAGGCGCAGTACAATGGCTGGAGTGGCGGGCAGGTGATTGTGAAGGGCTCTAGGGGGCAAATAAGGATTTTATGTAGGAATTTTTGTGTAATTGATTGCCTCATTGCTGTAATCTCCCTGTGGAAGGACCCGTGTCTTCCTTACTGCTGGTGAGGAGCAAGGCCTGTTGTGTGAGCACGTGGTCAGTGGTGACCAAGGGGACAGGCTAAGGGTAGGCTTAACTTGTAGGCAGGCAGGCTCTCAACTTCTGCCCTGCTAACTAGCTCTTAAAAGCCTCCCAACAAGTACAGCTTCTTTCCTCCTTAGGCCAGGAAAGAAGAGATGCCCAGAATTAACCAGGCAGTGAGCCCTCCTGGCCTGAGATGGAGCCTAAAGGATGATGACTCCAAATTCCTGCAGAGCCCAGGAATATCTGAACTATCTTAAGTCTAATTGGGCTAAGTAATAGGGAGGGGATTTCCTTGGGCTAGAATATTTTAAATCTATTTCCCTTGAGGTGACTTTGTCAGGTTAGCATTCCTAAGTGATTACATTGATTAATAATCTGCTAATTGTGCTAATTTTGCCATAGCTCCTCAGCCTAATGGTTTGTTTATTTAACTGGAGGCCTGCTGGGGCCTATTAGTGGCTCCTAAGAACAGATGATATGGGTAAGTTTAAAAAGACAAGAAAGAGCTGATCTCAAATAAAAATAAAAATTAACAGGCCTATGTATCAGGGTGTTTGTTTAGATGAAGATCCCCTAAGGAAGACAACAGGTCCAGGGAAGGCAGCTATGTGGGCCACACTGTAGGCATCAGGGAGAGCTGGTGTTTTTTCCAATCAGCAACAGACATTCAGCGCCCTCCGCCTCCCCAGGCTGTGAGCAGGTCCTATGGATACTGCACGGTCTGCCCAGTTGCCTGACCTGTGCTCTCTGTGAGCTTTGGAACACAGAGAACTTGTTGAGTATGTTGTTCAAAGAGAAATTTGCTGAGACAGGGTAAAAAGACAGCAAAACTGTGGTTTTCAGGCCCACTCACAGGAACCTTGGGTGGTTTGGATGTTGCACCTTCCTGCTTAGCATTATGCCTTCTAAGCCTAGAAGAAGGCCATGGTTGCAGCAATCCCTATCTCCCTTCTAGTCACCCTATCATTACTGGCTAGGGGTCTTGGGGGGCTGTCATATGTCATGTTCATTCTTTTCCTTGCACACACTTCTCTCCCCATTTCCTCCTTAGGTTCTGGAGAAGTCAGTGGGAGGAAGGAAGCCCACAAGAAAGCAGGGCTACTGGAGGAAGAGTATTTTCTAATGCCATAAAAGTAGCCCTCTTGCTGATTGTGCAAGCAGGTTCTATTTGGTTTGGAGACAGACTTTCATTGAAGGGAAGGCCAGATGCCTCTCTGGGGACTTATAGCTCACCAAGTTGTCCTGGAAATGGAAAGGGGCCAGGCTGCCTTTGGCTACTCAGAAAAATCCCTCCTTGAATTATTCCTGTACTGCTGATCCTGGCATGTAGGGAAAGGATGGTCTGTGATCCCTGGACCATGCTGGATGTTGAGCACCAAATAATGGCAAAGGGGAGCACTGACATCCAGAGCATCCCTCAGTTGGTGACCTACTGGGTTTCCATAGAATAACAAGGCTTGGAGTAATTCAGATTTGCTGATGAAAGGGTATTTTACATTGTAGTAACTAGGAAAAATAACTCCTGTTCAACTCCTAAAGAGACTCCTTAGTAGATCCAAGAAAAAAAGGCAAATGTGTGCAGTGAGTGCAAATTTGGATCCATAAATATGGGGCCTCAGAAAGCAGTCAACCAACAAAAGTCAACCAGTAGGGTAGA